CTCATCCCTTGTGAGCCTTTGAGAAAACCATGTTATTCCCTTCTGCCCCTCACCATGAATCACGGTGCCAGCGTGTATCAGTGATGGACTGGGAAATCCAAAGATCTCTGTAAAGTGTCTGGGCTTCTTCAGGTGGAAAGGACCAGGGGGGACCTTCTTGTCAGCTCCTTGTGAGAGACTGGAGTTATGCTTACTGCCAAGACAGTGACATAAACAATGGAGATGGCAAAACTCCCCTGAATAAACCCAGGGGCTCTGATTCCCTGAGATCACAGAATCACAGAATCACAGAATTGTAGGGGTTGGAAGGGACCTCCAGAGATCATCGAGTCCAACCCCCCTGCCAAAGCAGGTTCCCTACAGCAGGTCGCACAGGTAGGCATCCAGGCAGGTCTTGAACATCTCCAGAGAAGGAGACTCCCCCCACCTCCCTGGGCAGATGAAATAGATCATGCAGCCATAAGCATTGCAGTGCACTATTCAGGACTGTCACAGCATGGGGGACATGGTGCAAGGTCTTCTTGGAGAATTCAGCAGGATTCTGGCACACTGCAGAGTACCTGAGCTTCAGCTTTCCCTTCCCAAGCATTATGCCCAGGGAACATGCTTTGGGAAGGGAAGCTGGGCTGCCTCACAGCTCAGCCTAAAGTCAGGACAGACAGAGCCCCTGCTTGCCCTCCATTTCTTCTGGGACCAAAGCTGGGGTGAGGGATGCTTTTGCATGGGGCTGAGCACTGGGATGTCTGACCAGGGCAGCCCAGGAGGGCTCTGTGTTTGCAGAGAACAATGAATTTGGAGAGAGCAACAGACAGATATAAAGTCTGTAGACAGCAGCTTGTCACTGGGTATGGGGCCTTTTAACTACCACACTGGCAAGTCAAACATCGCTTTCTTCAGTGATAACTGCTTACTGCATGCAGGCTCACAGCTTTTCCCTGCAGGGCCTTTTACTCTTCTACAGAGCAGCTTGTCTCTTATGCCATCAGAAAGCAGTTAAGGAGTTCTACGGTGAACCAGGAGATTTTGCTATAGGAAAAGTCCTCCCTTTTTATCCCTTGCTTCCCACCGCCTGAGTGTCTGCAGTGGTGGCAGTTTATTGCACAAGTCTGTGTTGGCACCACAGCAAGGGCTACCAGAACATGTTGGAGTTTTCTCATTCTGTTTTGCAGCAGCAGCTGAGGGGGTCTCCATGTTAGCCATGTTAGCTTGGGTGCCTGGCTGGTGCCTTGGAAGTCTGCATGCAGCTCACCATATATCCACACAGGAGGCCTCTCTGTCAAAATACTCTCACACTGCCACCAGTGTGGACTGAAAACGTTGTGTTACTGGATCCTTCCACTTCTCCACATGTGCCAGCTGGTTGTCTCTTGCTCTTTATGCAAACACAGGCTCCTGTGGGCAGAGACTGTTTGCCCTGAGTTTGCACAGCGCTGTATGTTCATATCTTGGTCTGTATCTGAGCCCACTGCTGCAATTCACTTTATTGGTGTCAATAGCAGAGGGACAACCAGTCATCCTAAGAGGTGCTAACAAAGCAGTGGAGGTAGCCAGAGGAAGGAGACAATAGCCACAGAACAACTTGCTTCTAACTCCATGCAAGCTGATGCTGTCTATGCCTTGGGGCACGAGTGGTTTGCATTCTGCAGCATTTCCAGCCATTTTTGTGTTGTTGTGTATGTTGTGTGTTCTGTGCTACACCCTCTCAGTACGTTCAGAGTAAGTTTTGCTTGGGCTCTACAGAACAGAGCCCAGCGCTTGCACTGCTGCCTCTATTTTGTTTGCTTTGAACAAGGAGAATTAAGCCACTTATTTTCTCTTTTCACTGCTATTTCCTTTGGCTTGCAATTGTCCAAGGTTAGGACAGTCTGTCAATCTGAATTTGTACAGTATCTCACACAATACAGCCTTGTATGCTAAAGGAAAATGTTTCCTAATGAGAAACTTTCAGCATAAAACTTCTGGCTGTTTTCCTAGTTGCCCATTTCCAGGAAACAAAACAGACTACTTTGAAGGCATATGTCTCCCTGCTATCAGACAGCAACCTGTGCTTGGTGCAGAGTTTCCTCTACGTGCTGCAGCAGGAAATACTTCAGTGCTCATTACCTTATACTCAAATACATCACAGAAGGAGTCAGAAGAAACTCCACTGTTATCTTCTGCCTGAAGCTTGATGCTGTGCTGTGGAAGCGAGGAGGGGCACGGAGTATCAGGGCAACCAAAGCCTTTGAGAGCCAAGGAAGTACCACTGTGAATGTAACCAGGGTAGTGTGTAGGCAAAGAATTAGAGTGTGTTTCTAGGAATGGGCTCGGTCATTAGCCATCTAGCTATTATCTAGGCTTAGGAAAGGACTTTGCAATCGCAGTGCCATCTTAAATCTTTCTGTGTGTTGTGTGTGTGCTGGGCTCGAGACAGCAGTGCAAGGATGAACCTTTTCTGCTGTAAGAGTCCAGGGTGTAAAGCTGGGAAACTGTTTTGTATACGCAGCTGCTGATAGACTGGGGCAAAACTGAGCTCCTTTAAGGTGATCCAATGCACCGACTGATGTCGCAGTGGTGGAGGATTTACATCCCCGCCTCTGTCTGCCGAGTGTGCCAACAAGGAATTGATTTGTGTGACAAGAAGGTAACTGTGACCCTCCGAGCACTGTCAAGGTTGTTGGGGAAGCAAGTCCTGTCAGGATCTGGGGAGGATTACATCAGCCGGCTGCACCGTGAGGAGATTCAGACTTTGTAGAAGCATAATAAATATTTAGTTTGTGTTTTAGGCTTGGGAAGTATGGGGGCAGCGTGTGATGACAGCTTCCTCTGATGCTGTTGATCTGACCTGCCACTGGAGTGCTGTGCCGATGGAAAAGCTGTCAGGAGGAGAGAAAGCATCAGCGCTGTGCTGGGCTCTGTGAGCACACACTGAGGCCTCCCCTCCAAGCCTTCCTGTATCTCTGTTTCTTTCTGGCGTGGAGTCAGAAGGTAGAGGAGACTCTTTCAAACTTACTTTTGACTAAACTCTGTCAAATTTCACTTGCTGCCACTCGCAACCACCCTCCAGCATTTCTTCCATTAGCTTGCAATGCAGCATACACTGGTTATGATGGGAGCATCTGTCCTCCTAACATTCGGGTTTTCTTCCCAGTGATGACATGAAGTATGGGAGGAGGGCTGGCAGAGGGCAGGGTGTGTCATATTTACGTGCAGAAATCAAAATGGCAGTGCAGAAATTAGACTTCCCTCCGTGCTCCTGCAACAGCAGAGAGGTTACAGGAGCTCGTGGCTGAGCACGTGACGTTGCAATGGGCGCAGCCCAAGAGATCTTTCAGATGGCCCAGTTAGAAAAACCAGAACACGTATTCAGCAGCGGTTCCTTTTACTTCTCTCACTGTCCGCCTCGGCTCTTGGCGGATGCGGTGCTCAGCTGATCTCTCAGGTAAAGGGAGCTGATGTATAATGGGCCGTGTTTGACTGCTTTCCCAAATGGCGCACAAAAACTCAAGTCAGTTGTAAGTGAAGAACAGTGTGTGCACTGCTGAGCTAGCAAGGCATTTCAGAGCCTGTGCATCTGTCCTTTCCTGACATTTCCAGACAAGGAACTGCAGCACCGGTGATGGGAGGGGGAGTGGCTGGCGTGTAAAACATGAGCTGAATGTAGGCATCTGGAAGGAAAGGATGGGAGGTCGGAGCAGCCCCTGCTGCTGCAGGCACGCATTGGCGGGGGGAGGAGGCACGCAGACAAAGCTGGTGCCATTCCACACGGCTGCTTTGCAGGTTTTTAAATTATTCAGGTAATAAAGGTATCCATGCAGGTTTGGTGAACCCTCCAGATATCAAGATACCGGGACGAGGCAAGCAGCATTTTAAACCTTGCAGCATTCCAAAATCGATTTCTGGTGCAAAGTCTTTTAAGTGCGCCCTGTCCTCTGTACCTGGTTCCGTGTGCAGTGTGGAGCATCCCAAGGGTCTGCCCAAGCAGAGCAATTCCTATGCACAGGGGATGAGGCCAAGGGTGCCTTCTGTGACAGACCTGAGCTTGGCAGCATGTGCAGCTCACTTTGTTCATGATAAGAAGCTGCTTCTATTGTGCTGCAGCTGAGGCACAGCAGGGTAGATGTGAGCTCGAAGGAAAGCAGCTTTACAGAGAGCTAAAATTAGGAGTTTGGTCTGAATTATGCTAATTCATTTTAATTGCCTAAGTATGTCAGTGTTCTTCAGAAATGTACAGTCACTTCGCCGGTCTGGGAAGATGCAGCATCACTGGAGGCATGATGAAAGGATGGGTCAAGGATTGCAGAGATTTCTGGGTTCTCTGCCCTACTTCTATCTCTGTAGCAACCATCACCTCCAGCTCTCAGAATGCCATGAGGGTGGGTTCTGAAAACTGCCCCTGGAGAGGATAGTCTCATTCAAATCTGAGGTGTGCAGAGGGCATCCTCCTGGACACGGGGAGATTTCTGACATCTCTCTATGAAGGGACAGTTCTGCACAGCAGAACCATCTGAAAATTCACATTTCCTTTCACAGATGAACTGTGTCATGTTTTGAGCCACAGTGCTGCAAACAGCAGCAAAATCCAAGCTCCCTTCCTTTTTGCAAACCAAATTTTGCTGAGTGGCTGAAACACAAAGCCGGAGCCATACAGTTCTGTGTAGGGCTGCAAATATAGGGGACTGTGTTAAATCTAGGACTTTGGAATGTTGCAGTGAGAAATCTACAGTAGAAGCAAAAGTAGCAGGTATTCACCAAAGTGTCTTGGGGAGGCGGAGGGAGAGAATGCAGCAGCAGGAGAGCATTCAGAAAACAGATGAGGCTTCTATATTTATACAGTGATGAGGGAAGAGGGAGAGAGTGAGTGCGTGTCTGTCTGTCTGTACGTCTGCCTGCTCAGGTCACTGAGAAGCCTCTTACTTAAGCAAAAACGTACAATAGAAGCCAACACCAAATAGAAGTGATGGTTACAGTCCTCTACTGTAGTGTGGTAACGGGATTGTTCAGGTCCTGCAGTGTGCTCATATCTGTATGTTGGACCTCTGCTATGGGAAACGCAGAGAACACAGTGCCTACAGCCTTTGCAGAGTATAAACTGTGTTTATACTTAAACTACTTGAACATACCTTAAACCATGTTGTATCTTCAGCTCATCTGGTGGTCACTGCAAAGGAACAGTAAACATATTTCTACTTTTCGTACAGTGATGTTTGTTCAGAAAACAAAAGATTCTAAATAATCTACAGGAAAACTTTTGTGTGTTCAGAGTCCATTTAATTCTGTCCTGATGCCATGCCTGGAAGGGGAGCTCTGTATCTTACTCAGGACTTGCTGATTACAGCACAAAGCAAAGAATAAGATAAATGCCATGAGGAGTGCTGCTTGGTGGATGAGACAGACAGGTGTGGGGTGAGCTGAGGACAGTTTCAGCTTCGACAGTGCGCTTCCTACTTGCACTGAGCATCTCCAAACAGAAACTGGATGGGAGCTGCCCCTGTCTGTGGATGGTCCCCACACAGGGTCTCCAAACCTTGGGTGAGCGTGGTGGGAAGTGTTGTTCTGGGTTTTCCAAGCGTTTGACCTTTCCATCTCCAAACACGTTGCAATTAAACTCGATGTCTTCTGTCCCCAGCTGCAGGCACTGCTTCTCGTGCAAAGCACTGTGCCTTAGCATGCTCACATTGCTCTACTTGGAGAGAACTGTTCTACTGAGCAGTAGACGCTATTCCACAGCCCAGCTCTGTGTTGTCACTTAAAGCATAGTTGCTCTGAATGGTACTCGAAAACTTCAGAATCTCTTGTACAAGAAGAGCAGGGCTGTTTTGGGCTGTACCTTTCTCTCACTGTCAAGCCTTAGGCAGAGACCATGTGCCAACTAAACTTGCTCTTTCAGTCTGTTGAATGGGGAGGGGAGAGTGTGAAAGGTGTCCTCCTTTGGTCTGCCTGGGAATCAGCTCTGCTTTGTTGATGACTGGCGTGAGTTTTCACTGGGCGCTGTAATTACAAGCACCCCTCTTCCATTTCTAGGTTCTTACTCTGATGTTTGAATCAGTAATGTTTTTGCTGTTAATTGTTTCCATGGTTTTCGTTATAGGAGTAAATAGTCTGTTCTTAAATAAGATGCTGAACTTCAGTCATTCCGTTCCCTGTCCTTGCAAGTCTCTGCATGGATCTCCTTTTCAGCTGCTTCTCTCTGCTCCTAGTTTTCCTTGCGGTGGATGAAAGAACTCAGGCTGGTGATGAGCTTGAAGAGTGGTGGTGTGGGGATGGGAAATGTGCTGCAGAGCTCTCAGTAAGGGAAAACTTATCTAACTGGCTTGCTATGCTGTACTTATTTTCCCTTTAGTGGGGACGGTTACGGTTCTGCTTCTCATCTTAAAAGCTGAAATGGAAAATATATCTGTGGGCCACTGTCTTTCTCGTGACAATATTTCAGCTCTTGGGCAAGAGATGCCTTCATAGGGTCTATATTTGTCCTGCAGGTTATGATTTTCTCATCTTTTCCCTTCTTCAGCTCTGTTCCTGGCAGGATTAGCTCAGCTCGCTAGATTTGGTCCAAGCAGAAATTGCTCAGTGAAGCATGGCATGGCAGCCCTCTTCACACACAGGTTGGCCATGTATTGATGCACAATAACATGTTCCTGTTAAAAAAACAACGTGATGGCCAGCAGGCTGATCCCTATCTGCACATAGCAGGAAAAATGCCGCCCGTCAAGCCTGCTGCAGTGCTAAGATTGCAGTAAAAGGAGCTACAGCATCACAAGACAAAAGTATAAAATATCTGCTCCCCATCAGTACTGCATCAGCACAGCTCCTCCACATGACTTGTTGAACTCATCCCCATCAATAGGGTCAACAGGGAGAAATGCATCTCAGACCAGCCAGCAACCAGTCCGCAACTGCAGTAGTGAAGCACTTCCTTTATACAGCAGGGAGATCAAGTCTGCATTGGAAAGAGGCATTGCATGTTGGCTGTTGTGGTCTGCAGACTTCCTCCCTGAAGCAGTGGTGTGTTTTTACACGTTGTGCTGCAAATAAATGCAACGTTGCACACAGAAGACAAAGGAAGGTGGCTCAGAAATATCACACGATCCTGTAGTTTGCTCTTGGCAGAAAGAATCTATCGCGACCTATTGGGATAAAGAAAGGAGCTCAGCATCCTCAGAATTGCCTCTGTAGTTCTTGTGAGATTTCAGGGGAAACATCAAACAATCAAACAAAAATAAAACCAGCCCAAAGAAAGCGATGTGCTTTTTGTACTTTTTCTGGAGCTGCAACCACTACGTTTAGCTCCACTCCTCCAGCTGTCTGCTCTGTGCTGCCAACTGCTGAGCTCTGCCAGCAGGTTACGGGCAGAACGTGAGGGTGTAAGGCAAAAAGTACCTCAAAAATATGCACTAATCATGTTTGTGTTTACATTAAGAGAGATGTAAGGCATGCCGACGATGTGATTGTGAGCTACCAGGAAACAGTAGAGATTCAGGGAGTCTTTTTGGGTGCTGAACCGTGAAAACAAGGACCTAATTTTGACTATGGTTCTGAAGGTCAGCACGAGCAAACATGCATACAAACATGTTGTTTGGAAGATGCTTCCAAGGTACAATAGATTGCAAAAAGGTAAGAGAAGAGACTGCAGAGCTGGGGGCTTTCAGCTGCAGCTGTGGAGTAGGATGTCATTAAAATGAATGTGTTGGGAATGGCAGAGTGCAGGACATAGACGTTATTTCTGTAGGAGACCACTTTGGGTGCCTGCTTTTCATGATGTAAAGCGTATTCTGTTAGAAGTCTGGCATGAAACCCCCTCAAACAAATGAAATCTTCCTTTGTGCCCTCACATTTCAGGGCTCCTTGGCTTGCATTGGACCCCTACAATCTGGGTGCCCACCAAGGGTACATTGGGATGCAGGGGATGCTGTCTCACATTGTCTGTTACCGACAGCAAATCCTCAGGGAACCGTAGTGCTAAATGCTACAAGACTATGCATCTTTGAAGGTATGCAGTTGTGCAGTGCTTTGTGGGCTTGGAGATGCCCTTTCAAGGCAGGGGATCTCTGTGAGCTCCTGGAGAGGGGATCAAGCAGCCTGCTTGTCCTGTGTTTTCCTTGTTCCTCATTGGGAATTGCTTCCTACTTCTCTGCCTATGATGTGACAGGAGATGGGGACAGCATTAAGCTGCGTGTTGCTTGGCTCCACTGATGTTCTGACGCTGCAGCAGCCTTTTCCAGGCTCCTCATTAACTGCTCTGTGGCCAGCGCTGTTCTGGTGCTCAGCTCCCAGCACTTGCTGCCAGTGCTGATAAACTGGAGTAACAGCATCTTATTTTTGAATTATTTAGGGCAGATTTTTTATTAATAACTCAAATTACCCTGTGAAACAGCAGCTTGTCTGATGTTAAATATTAAACTCTGTTAAGTGTGTGAGCCGGGGCAGAGAGCAGCACGCTGTGACTGCTCTAGCAGCGGATGGCCACGGTGCCCACCATCGTGCATTAATCCCTGCTCCTCAGAGAGCCTCCATCTTTAGGGCAGCCAGATGCACCCCACACAGCTCCCCAGCTTCTGAATTGCATTTTGCATGCTTTAAACAGATCAGCACATCAAAGGCTGGCGGAGCCTCTCTCTGGCGTTTCCATGGCAGCAGCAGCTGAGAGGATTCGGATGTTTCTGGGGTGGGATGGTGCTGTTGGGTGCATTGGGGCAGAGGGGACTGCTGACCACGGCCAGCATCCTCATAGGTCTGCTCAGTGCAAGGGGCTGTCTCCCCATTTTGGGGTGCTGTGATGCAGACCTCTGCCTCTGGACTGCCCACCTCAGCTTCCTCTGGTCTGGGAGAGAAGGATGCTGCGCTGCACAGCAAGTAGGTCAGCTGAGTTATAGCCTCAGAATTGCTTGCTGGTTGGTGCAATGAAGGAAAGCAGGTCATTTCAGTTGCCATTCCTGCTCCTTGTGCTGCTGCATCCTTTGGGAGATGATGACGTGGTAGAGATAATGCTGTCACGTGGTTTGTGGTGGGTATGGCATCATTGCAAGTTTCTCTGCAATCAGCTGAATTAATTCCAAACTCATGTGCATCAAAAGATGCGTTCCGTTTCCATTGCCTCCAGGAGCACAGCAGTCTCCAGCAGTCTCTGCTTCTCCTAGGCTAGACTAGACTCCCTAGAGCGACTGAGGACACTCTGTTCCTACATGGGCTTTCCAACTGATGCTATGTGTTTTGTTTACATCTCCAAAATAATGCTTTTTGAGTGAAAAAGCACATTGTGTTCAGAGCGAAACTCACAAGTCACAAGATCTTTCCTTTTCTTGCTGCTCATATCAGCTGTGCATGCTCAGACCATTTTGCCTTCATCTCTAGAGTAAGGCATTCAGTTTTGGACACACTCTCTCTCATTTTATTTGAGATTGGGATTGATTAGCCTCAATTCCTATCCTATCCTATCCTATCCTATCCTATCCTATCCTATCCTATCCTATCCTATCCTATACCATCCCATCCCATCCCATCCCATCCCATCCCATCCCATTCCATTCCATTCCATTCCATTCCATTCCATTCCATTCCATTCCATTCCATTCCATTCTATTCTATTCCATTCCATTCCATTCCATTCCATTCCATTCCATTCCATTCCATTCCATTCCATTCCATTCTATTCTATTCTATTCTATTCTATTCTATTCTATTCTATTCTATTCTATTGTGTTATCTTGCATTCCAATATCATATTTAGTAAATTAACTCTCCTCCTCAGATCTGCTCTGCTTTTAGGCCCATCTCCCATCTCCTTACCCTTTCCCCTTGTCCCCTTTCCCCTTTCCTGGGGTGTGGGTCAATAGGTCCCCCTGCCCCATTAGTCACAGTTGGACCAAACCAACCTGTAAACTGTCAGCATCCTCCCATCTCTTCTGGGCTGTGGTCCTGTGGCCTGCTGTCCCCCCATCATGGACACAGACAGATCTAGAGATAACTCTGTGACACTTTCCAACAGTGAATACACCACATCTCCCATGTAGTAGCTGACAGAGCTCTCAGGGGTGAAGTTCTGTAGCTGAGGTCAGAGAAAAGTGCTGATACTGCAGGTGTTCAGTGAAAGATGTCCACTGGGAGAAATAAAATAGCTGATCTCCTTCAAGTTTCGAACAATTGTGAGACTCTCATAAGCTCTGCTAGGTCAGTAGAGCTCTATCTCCACGCTTATTCTACAGAATTGCTCCCTTCCCAACATCATGTACAAATGACTATTTCTGGGATTCTTCTTCTGTCATCCAGAAGCATCTTATGTAATTGAATTAGACCGTAGGAAAAGATACTGAGAGATGGAATCATCCTAAATGCTGATCATTGACAACAGGGCTGTGGGCATACAACAGAGGTGTGCACATCTCTTCTGAATCATTCATTAATTATCCTTAAATGGAACCCATGAGGTTCAAGATTTCAAGTGGATTTTTTGCAGGTCTGCCAAACGGTTCTTCAGAGCATTGCAGTAACTGGAGAACAACTGGCTGTTGTACTGTGAGCAGCACACTGGTGTGAGCTGCTGCTCTTGCTGTAATGCTCATATCATGTGGTGCAGGCATGCCAAGGATGCTGAGGAAATAGATGAACCAATGGTATCTGGAATAGTCATGCCCACAAGATGCACAGTCATCAGAACATGAGTGGAAAAGAATCCAAGGAAGCATTTGGGCTCTTAGCTTACTCAGCAAGGTGATCAGCAAAGGCTCACAACATGTTTCTAAGTTCTGGGATTGAGGTAAGGAGTAGGAAGCCACTTCTCAAGTAGGTTTTGTTCTGGGGTCTGCTCTGCACTGGCACTGCAAGCTGGTGGGGACCACCTATATAGGGCACCTTTATAGGGCAGCTCTATGCCAGGATGAGCATCTTAATGTTGTCACAGTCCCTCTGGATAGCATCTGTAGAAAAAAGAGGAGTGACCTTGTGAGTGCAGAGTTTGCTTTTGACGGTACAAGAAGCTCTGAGCTCCAAGAAGAAGAGTTAGCATTGTTGGGATTTTTTTCTTTCTGCATGGGAGCCAGAAAAGCAGGGACAAATCCTGCTCTGCGAGCTCCTGCAGAACGAATATTCACCATAATCTCAATGGCTTTCCATCAAACAATCCCCAGGACTAAATATTAGCAACAAAAATTTTTAGTAGTACTCTACAGTTTTCACAAATAGTCTTGGCAATGCCTTGAGTGGATTCTGTTGATGATGGCATAACCCAGTTAATATTGCTCATCCACCTCCCAGGAAGGGAGCATCTAACATTAGAGCTATGAAGAGGATGGAGGTTTCCCATGACTTATTTTTCCACGACTGTACCTTGATTCTGTAACCACCCCTCATGCTAACCTGCAGCACAGCACTGTCACACCACAGATGTTCCTGGAAATGGCTGTGCTGCACTTGCAGTGCCACCATGTCTCTTGTCAATCCATCAAATCTTGTTATTTTTGCCCAGCTGCAATCCACGACTATTCAGAGGAAAAAGCTGTACAAGTTGCAGCTGACTGTGGCATGAATATTAATTGAAATTATTTCAATTTTTGGTGCAAACCTTCCTGCCTTGCTGTTGATATTTGAGCCTTTCATCAAACTCTAGAGCATTTCTGTGTCAAATCACAGGTGTACAGCTTGTTTTGCTTATTGCTCTGAATATCAAAATAACTCCCTCTGAGCTCTGTGCAGAGCTCCTGACACCTGTCGGACTGCTGCAAAGCTGGTGACAGGACTGCATACACCACAAAGCGCTGACTGAAGGCTTTTCTTGCTGGTACCAACTCAGAAGAAAATGATTTGAGAACTGAATATAGAAAAGGTTTACAGGAATGGTTTCTAAGTTCTGTTCAATTGCTTGAAGTGATCTGATCAAACAGAACAGGAGGATCTTGGTGGGACCACAGCATTTAGGTGCACTGCAGACCTCAAAGACCAGGTGGCTGCTGAGAGTGGAGGTACAGCAAAAGGTTTTTCCTTCCCTTGATGCTGAGCAGCGGAGTCAGAAATTTCTTGCCAAAAGGAGCAGAGTGCATCTTGCCAGGTGGGGACTGTGCCTTCATCTGCTCTCACAGGATGTCAGTCTGCACTGCCTCCAGGCATGCATTACAGCTCAATGCTGGATGTTTGTCCATCTTGAGATCCCCAAATAGGCATAATAACATTTGGGAATCTCGGTGGATCTGTAATCTTGCTGTTACAGCAGAATCACTGGATTCAATAGGATCAATAGCTGGGCTTAATTAGCAGCAGCTTGATAAGGGTCTCCTTATGTCTTTCAGGTCGGCACCCGCCTGAGTGAAAGCAGAAACTTGTACCTAAAGCAGTAATTAAGAAGTGATTTGCCCTTGGCCCACGTTATGGGCATAATGCCAAGCTGATTTCCCAGAGCTGTTTTTTTCCGATTCGGGCTCAGTTAGGTGATACTCCTTGCTCTCAGAACTGCTTGGCCTTCAGCAGAGGGAAAAAGAATTAAAACAACAACAACAAAAACAACAGCAGTTGTTAATGTTGTGGGCAAGATGTCTTCTGGTCCAATGGACGGGGAGCAAATGCAGAGGCTGCTGAGCATTTTCTATCTGTCTGTGCAGCCAGGACAGCACAGAGCTAAGCTGTAGCACAGGCAAGAGTCCATGGATATTGCTTTTATGTGAGAATTCTGCACTTCTTTCATGTCTGCACTCAATGAATCTGAGTCTCTGAGATTTCTGTGCGTGAATGAGCGTAAGATGAATTGGTGAGATAACATTTTCAGCTGCGTTGCCTGGCTCATCCAAATGAGGAGCAAAAAGAACATCTTATGGCTCGTATCATAAAATGTCAAAGGGACACACAGTGAGGGCCTTCTGTTTGATCAGTGTCAATGCAGTGAGGGGCAAGGGCTGCCCAAACCTTCTGATGTCATGCTCAGACTGTTTCTTCTAAGAACCAAGCAGCGGTGATGCTGGTAGTAGCAGTTTGTCTCTTGGAGTAAAAGGGCGGGCTGCTCTTTTCAATTTGCATTTCTGGATTTCCTTTGTGAATTCCACAGCTCAAACAGTTCTGAACTTACGGAAAGCCATGAAAGATTTATTTGATCCAAGGGTACAATGGGAAAAGATTACCTATACTTACCTGCTGCTCAGCTTTGCAAATGCAGTCCAGTGGTTTTCTTGCAAGTTTTAATCTGCCTCATGCTTCTAGGTGCAGGTTTTTAGACTGATTTTGGGACAAGTATCTTCCTGTTTTCTCTCTCTCTCACACACACAAGAGGATGGGGAGGCAACCAGCATGACAACACGGCCTGGAAGATGTGAGAAAAGCAAATCTTTGTTCCCCTTCCATCACATAACACTGCACAGCTCCTGCTCTGACAGAAAGCTGAAGAGCAAGTGTCAGTGTGGCCCCTTCCATGCCCTTCCTCTGGCCCATGGCTGATGATTCCAGCACTTTGTAAGCCAAGGAATTGACATTAGAGAGGGAAGGCACCAGCAGTTTGCACTGACTTTCTGTGAAATGACAGATGCCAGAAACAACAAATGCCACAGGAAAGCAAGCTTGCTATGCTCAGAGAACTGCCTGCTCCTAGCATCAGAGTGCCTGGCTCAGCACTGCAGAGTGCTGTTATCTGCTTATTTATGCCTGCATCATGGCAATTCTTTCCTAGCAGGAGGAAGCAGCCTGACAGCAGCACTGGTTTTCATTGCAACTCTCTCCTTGCATGAAGCTCAGTACCTTCCATTACCCACAGCTGGGCAACAGCAACAGAATTGCTAAGGATTTAAATTATTCATCTTTTGTGCCTGACTCAGCCTTAAAATTGCATTCATGTTTCCTAAGATAACAGCTTGTTGACCAGAGGAGCCAGGGAGCTGGCTGCTCTTCGGAGCCTCAGCAGGTGACTGGAGCACAGGGACTGTTGTCCTCAGTGAGCAGAAAGGGGATGTGCTGGATAAAACAAACCCTGCTGCACACTTGTCCTTGCTCCAGGAGGTTGCAGTGATGGCTTGGAAGAGCAGCTTCCCTTCAGTGACTTCAGCCCTGGACCTGTCCTAGCATTGTTTCTCAAGATGCTGAATGCAGGAAAGGATGTACATCATTCTCTGAGCAAAAGCACCGTGCTGTGTCCTCAAAGAACTGAAGCCCACTGTTAAAGAGAGGTATTTACTCTTCCCCAAGGCAATGTGTGTGAGATACTCTGCTTCATGCACTCTCCATTCCCTTAAGTGAAAGGAAAATAACAGCTGAGAAGGGACTGGCAGCAGCCTGTGGTGCCCGGAGATCCCTTCTCTAATTACATGGAAGATAACAAGGCAGAGAAAGGAGCCCTGCATTCCTTCACAGCTACATCATAGTGCAGCTGAAGATCTTCTCCAGAGGCCCTCAGGAAAGGTCAGAGGCAGGACTCCATATCTCTCAAAAAAAAAACCAAACAAAACCCCAAACTTTCTGTGGCTGTAGGAGCAGTTTTCTTCAGGGATCCCCTCTTCCACCTAACTGCTCACAGATCACTTCCCTCTGTCCCACCTCTGTCTGCAGTTGGTGCTGGAGTTCAATCTCAGGCGTAAACCTGTCATGCTGTGGCACTGAAGCACTAGGACTGCTGTGTGCTGTCACAAGATGGTAGGAGAGATTATTTTTCCCTTGTATGATAGATATTATAGCATCTGGGGAACAGTGCTGTGACAATATCAGAGCCCTGGCTGGCAAAAATCTCCTTGAAGTCCTTGGGGTTGCACACAGGGGCACAAGAGAGCTGACAGCAATTATTCACTCTTTGTCCTGGATGCTTTTTCTCGACGTTGGTTTGCACTTTCTAACAGACTGTTTCTATTGCATCCACTGGAATCTCTTCCTTTTTCAGAGCTCTGATTTAGCTCTGTGTTAGCTAACTGAACATGCAATGTGATGCTGACTTGTGCAGTCTCAGAGGCCTGTAAGGAGATGTTCACATAGGTGTACTGTGTGATACTGTGCAAAATCCCAGGAGTGAGCAGTCCAGTCCATCTCAGTTCAAGCTCTGAAAACAGGTAAGTGTTAAAGCATTGCCTGAGACTTTTGAAGCGTTTTCATGGAAAAGAACCTGCAGAAATTTTGCATTATGCTGAGCCAGTAGCTCTGGATGGACTCATAGCCCTGGCTGGTAGGGTTCTATCTTCAGAGGACTCATATTTGCATTCATGATATGCAGTTACACAGGGGAAAAAAACAGCAGGATCTGAGATATGATGTTGCCTGGAGGTTCAGAGCAGCAATACATTTTAGAGCAAATGCAGTGTGCCAGGCAGCAGTTACATTGCTCATCCTTCTGATAATTAACATTTGAGCCCTGCCTCAATGGGAGGAGGAGTTCATTATAGGTCAAACACTTAAGGGATCCCACACTTCCTGTGAAGTACTGAATTGCACTGGACAAGGGGAATGTATTTCCTTGGACTGAGGTAAGGACTATTCCTGCTCTAATGTTTCAACCCGGACTTGGCTCAGTAAAAAAAAAAAAACCTCAATTTCTACATAGTGCAAAGCATTTTTCTATCCTAACAGATTCTCTTGATTTTCTTTTCCTGCTCCAACTGGTGTAAGCTCAGCCAGTGGTGGGCTGGTCTGTTTTATTGGAATTCCCTAGAGGAATGCAGCTGATTTTGTTCCCTCTGCAACTGAACAGTGACACAAGCTGCGTTTATCAGTGTGATGCCCAGACCCTTCCAGGTGTGATCAGGTCACAGCCTTGCTAGTTTGTCCCAGTGGAGAAAGTTCTTGAACTTGTAATTGGTATCAAGGACCTGCTGATTGCTAGCTAGAAACAGGCACCAAGCTGCGTGGCTGCCTTGCACCACCCCAGGGCTTTTTCAAGGATCCCAAATAGGGTAGCAAAGCACTGGCAGAAGAATGCACAGAGTGCCAGGTGAGCGTGGCTCTGTGTTGTGTGAGCAGGAGGAGAGGGTGGGATGGGAGTGGACTCCAAGAGGGCTGTTCCTTGGACAACTGGTGTGACTCCATTGCGTGTCTTTCAGAGAGGGCATGCACCAACCACTGTGGACCCCTTGCCTTCTTGTTGCAAGCAAGGATCTCCTGAAGGGATGCTGGAGCAGGAGTCTGCTGTGCAGGTAGAAGGGGGGAAGGGGCGCGTTCATTGCGTTGCAGCGAGCCTCAGGCCCCACGAAGGGCCTGGAGCTGCTGTCACCAGAATTCATCTCTCACTTCAGTTCCATCTCAGTGTCCCCCATTTTGGGACCTGTGCCCCAGCCAAGGTCTGCAGCAACCGATGAGCTGTTTGGGCTCTGCGCAGCACAAACCGAGAGAACCAGCGTGGTTCAGGCCACAGGATTATTTCATTTTGCCTTGTATTTCTGAAGCTCCATCTTCCCTTCTGCTGTTTGAAGAACAGGGCTCACGTAAGCGGGCTCCTCCCTGTTTACAGCTCAGGGGCATGTTTATGAAGCACGGCTCAGGTGCAACATAGGCTGAGTGCTTGCGTGCAGGGCAGCTGTAATCTTCCAGCTGCAGGCAGGGAGATTACCTCCCTGGGAGGGAAAGTGCCTCCTGCCACTCCAGCAGACACATGTGAGTGGAGATGATAGGGTTCAGTCCTGCTGATAACGCTTCCAGTCTGGCTGCTCACACAATTTATTTGGCTGCAGCATTCAGCATCAGTGAGCTGATCAGACCTGCAGACCCTGGCTGCCCAGGGTGAGCTGACTCTCCTGCAGCAATGCCATGTTTGCATTACTTGAGGGTGAGTACTTGGGCAAGTCTCTGCCATGGTCAGGGGCTTGGTCTGGGCTGCACTAGGGGGAAAGGAATCAGGTCTGTTTGAAGAGGGGTGTTTTTATTTGCTTTGGTTTTGTGGTGTTTGTTTGTTTTGTTGTTATTATTATTTTATTTTGGGGGCTTTTGGTGTTTTTTTTTTACATTCAGGAGTTTAGGTGCATCCAGGCCACTTAAATAGTTTTACGTCTGCCCCAGACAAAATGGGCCCTTGTCCCCAAATGGGCCCTGGAATGGTAGAAGGGGTTTGCTGCCCTTCTTAGGCTGCTGGAAGCTTGCCTAAGGTCATGCTGGGATTCAGCAATGGAGTCTGGCATTAAATCCAGAATTTCTAAGTCCCCCTGGTATTGTGCTCACCTTGTCTTTCTTGCTGCTGCTTTTGTTGAGAGATGGGGGTGCCCTCAAGTGAGGGCTGTTAGGGGTTTTTTTCTTTGTTTTCCTCTCAGTGGTACATGTTGATTTCTATGCTATCACCTTCCTTATTTCACCCACACGAAGCTCTGGGACAGGTGCACAGGATGACGTTTCTCTCTAGGCATAGTGCTCTATTAGCTCTGCTGAGGAGCAGGTGGCTGTGCTGCCACAGCTTTTGCTTGCATGTCCTCACTGGGGATAAGTTGGCAACAATCTATTTCCAGGCTGTGCTTCAGGTACTTTCCTGTCAATGCTTTCTTCCCTGCATGGCTTCTGGAGGCTACACTGAGCTCAGGCAGCCTGGCTGCACACTGCTAGCAGTGAATCTGCAACCATGCACATTGCGATCCTTCACAGCCTCTCCATCCTAGCAGGAAGCCTCATCCTCAGCACTTTTGCTCATGGAAGCAGGTGCGGGCTGGCCCTGCTGAAGCAGAGGTAGAAAAGATCAGCCAGAAGAGATTGCAGACATTATGAACAGTTGATTCAAAACACTAGCAAAGAGAGAGAATTTTTTTCCATAAGGCACTGAGTCAGACCTTGGTGGCACGTTCTGGCTTCTGCTGCGTGCAATGGCACTGCACAGAGCCTGGGGCAGGCTGGAAGCTGGTTTGCAGGATGTGCCTCAGTCCCTTAAAGCAAGTCCCTGTCTTCCCTTGTACTGATGTTGTCTGTTGCACGTATTGCCTGAGCCATGGCACGGCTGGGGAAGGCAGTGCAGTAGGAAAGCAGGAGATAAAAAGCAGTCACAGTGCTGCTGCATCTCTCACAGCTGTAAATCCTATTGTGTTGTAAGAAGAGGTGTAGCTCCTGAGTGACAAGCACCGGTGTATTGTCTTCAGTCACAGTCTGTGTATTTTCTGACGAGGTAAAAATAGCTTTTCTTTTTCAGGCTGTGCAGAGAGCAGAGGCTCCTGCTAACATCAAAGGAGTGTGACAGCTTTCCCCTGGATGCGCCTTGCCCCAGCTGGCAGGAGCCTTCGCTGTGCTAATTCTTGCTTTGCTTTGGCTCTGTGCAGAGGAACAATGTCCTGGTCTTCAGCTCCCTATTCCTCTGTCCAGTCCCTGCTGCTGGACTCAGCACTGTACTTCATTGACAAGTGGTGGTTTGCAAATTTCAGAAAAGGTCTTGACGTTACTGCTTAGAAACTCCATTAGTACTATCTGGGAAATGACAGGCAGGCAGACTTTCATAGAACCAGGGGATCCTTATCAGGAAGGATCAGTTCACTATGCAGGGGCAGCTCCCTAATACTTGCTCATTGCAGATTAAGGAGAGATCCGTCTCCTCACACACTCCTGAACCCTTTCCAGCTTCAGCATCTAGCAAAGGGGATGTGAGGTGGGAGGAAAGGGACCAGTTGTCTGCATCTGAACATGCTCAGCAGAGACAGAGTGAATTTGGCCCTGAACTACACCACCAGTGACAGGCCAGAACAACCCTGTCCCATTCAGAGTGCATAAAAACAGGCTTTCCAAATGCTAATTAGTTGTGATACTGTAAGGATGGAGGACTGTGCCTGACAGAGGGGCCCAATGACTGCGACTGAACCTGAAAACGTGCCCCCACTTTACTAACTTCAAAGCTCAAAAACTAATTGAAGAGTTGCCTCCCTTCTCAGAAACCTGACAGGGACCCTCATTTACTTTGGGATTTCTGCTCTGCCACTTGTGCCAAATTCTCTTCCAGCATTAACAGCCCCTTGATGCAGGAACTTGTGCAGGTCTTTCATTTCTGCATTATTTGATTCTCTTGCAGCCAGATCATAGTGCCATGTGCACCCCTGCATTCTCATGACTGGGGATCACTGCTGCTATCAGCACTATCAGCCATGGCCTCTGGTGTTCTGTGCCTTGGGGAGGCCTGGGGTATTGTGAAATCTCCACTCAGCAACAATGAGCATGGACAAAGGTTTTGCTCAAGGTGATGCATGAAAGGAGAGCAAAATCACTTAGCAAATGGTTTCCAGAGATGACCTCTTGATGCTTTCGTTCTCGTAAGTTCTACTAAGATCTGCAGACCTCTCCTAAATCGCGTGCGCAGGAGTGAAGATGGTGGGAGGGTAGAATTTGGGTATATGGATTTATCCTTTCATCTGATGAGCTCTTCCCAGTGTTCTTTTCTCTTTCATCTGAGTTTGCAGTATGTGCCTGGCAGTCTCTTCTCTGTGCTGCTCTGGCTGCCTGCCTGAGGCTTCGCTCCTGTGGCCTCTCTGGAGATGCTGTGCACTATTAAATGCTTTCTTCCACCAGGAAGGCTGAAACTTGCTGGTAGGTTTTGTTTCCACTGCAGGGACCACCCATGTCAAGCTTCTGTGAATGTAGATAGAGGAGAAAGTTCCTGCTGATCAGATGGTGTGGTTTCTGTTTCTGGGCATTCCAAGTTGAAACCAATTCAACTTCCCTTATCTTTTTAGAGAGACCCCAGGGGCCATCTCTAAATGCACTTAATCTTAGTATCTGCCTTTAGTTTATTTCCAGAACTGACATATTCTTCTCATCTGAGGAGAAAGGATCACCATTAGCACCCGCTGACCTGGGCATTTGATGTCTGCAGGGTAGGGAGAACATGGAGAGCTCTGGCCTGAAAAAAGTCCTTAGGCTGAGAACTGCTTAAAGTAAGGCACTACATTGTTCTCTCTGTTGGAAACAATACCTCAAAGTTGAGGACCATGCCTGCTGCTGGACATATGCCCACAAGAGCAAAGAAATGTCAAAGCAAACTAAAGGCCATTGCAAGGGTTGTTGTACTTCCTTCCCAGCTGGCAGTGCTGACAGTGCCCTGGTACTAACAGCTGACAGTGACTGGGTCATCTGCTGGGATGTGGTCTGGACCTTTTATGCACTGTCCGGGTAGGATGCCCTCTGTAACACATGGCCACAGTGCAGGAGTCAGGCTTGCATCTCCCTGTTGCTGCTGGGGCTCTGTGCATTGCTGGAGCATTGTGTGCTACCTTACACAATTCGTCTGTCCTTGCTGGACCTCCATGAGCAATGGGCAGCCTGACACCAGGCAGGGGGGAGTGCATCTGCTTAGCAGGGTCAGAAGACCCCTTGGGGGATCCCCAGGTAGGGCCTTGCCCTTAGCAGCAGCATCTGCCTCTTCTGTTACTATTTCTCTGCTGTTCACAAACTGCTTGCTCATCCTGGTTTTCAAGATGCCTCCACTGGCTTCACTCCTAATGCATACCAGGAAAAAGTGGCACATATTGCTCCAGAGGTGGGGTTTCAGGAGCATTAGAGCAGTGGAGCTGCAAATGCCACTAAGTGTGCAGGGCAGGAGTTGCTGGCAGGAGAACGTGGCTTCCAAAGAATACAGCAGTGGCAAAAGTTTGAAGATGCAGTTATCTTTAGTGATAAACTCATGAGATAGAAACCTGTGCAGTGGTGTAGTTGCTTTGAAGACCTCTGCTACAGAGCACACACAGAAAGCTTTTCTTGTAGCAAAGACTGCTGTCTGAGGCAATGATTTTCAGTAGCTTGGCCTGGAAGAAAGCAAATTGATCAAGGCCCAGGCATGGTGCACACATGGAGCAGTGTAGCAGCATGCATATGTGTCTTTTGCCAGTCTGAAACAGCAGGACAATTTTCTTCCTTCCTCATGGCCCAGAAACCACCATGAGAGCAGCGTGAGCCTCTGAACTCATTTGCTCTTGGGAATGATCAACACGCTACATTTAACAGCCTCTACACAGAGTGTTCCTTATGAACATGGCTCCCGTCCATAGAAAGAGGCAATGTTGAGACCCTTCTTTATCAATAATTTGCAGAAGGAGCTCCTCCCTAGGTGGGAGTAAGAGTGATGGCACTGCCAGAAAAGATTAGAGAAGACTTTGACTGTGTGCAGGAGACAAATAGAGCAAGATTAGCAAAATCCAGCCTGAACCTCTGGCTTGGCAAAACATCCCTTTGCATACTGCCTTAGCCCACAGCTACAGTGCAAGGAGCTTGGTCAGACCCAGGCTTCTGTTGGGGTGAAGGAGCAATCATCAGGCTGTGGTGATACCCTGTGAATAAGGACTGAGAAATTCTCCTATCAAGGCTGGAAAAGAGAAATAATTTGACTGTTGCCTGAAAGAAGAGAAACTGAAGGAGAGGCACAGCTGCACTGAGCTGTGTTTAGAAGGTCTTGGAGCATTTTGCAAAGTCCAGATCTAGGAAGTGCTGGAAGCTGCATCCTGCCACTTCACAGCTTGAAGATCCCCAAGTGTATGGAACACGACACCTATACGTGGGGCTTAGTTGTGTGAGAGGTACACAAATAAGCAAGTTTACCTCCTCAGCTTGGAATAACTCTTTCCTGAAAAATGGCTGGGAAAGAGAAGGAAAATGGAGAGAAACACTGCAAGCTGCCAAAAAAAAAATTAAACAAAGGAAAGTAAAACCACTGGGGGCATTCTTTTTCATCTGGAAGCAACTGCTGTATATCCTAGGGCAGCCGGATAGCAAGCAACTGTGGGTGCAGGCAGCAGTATGAGCACAAATGCCAAGCGAGTGCACGCAGTGTGTCTGTGCTGCACTTTGTGCTTAGCTGTGGATGGCGAGTGTGCAATGTGTGTGTCTGCCTTAAGGAGCATTTGTGTTGTGCTGCCTGGGATGTGCATGCATCTTTTCGATATGCATACATACTTACACCCATGGAGTCTCTGCATTTCTTGCTGTTCCCTTTTGTTGAAAAAGGAGATGGCATTGACCCAATCTATGCTTTAGTTCCTTGGCTAATCTCATGCTGTCAGGCTGCCTGTGACACCCCAGAGTAATAAGCTGTTGTGAAAGAGTACAACCCAATGCCAGGTAGGCAGTCCCTGTGTACGCAGAGACTTTAAGAGGAGAATATGACTGCAGATATCTGTCGTCTGCTTTTGCTGTCTGAGCTGTGTCTCCATCCCATGGCTGCCCGGCACCCATCAGTTCTCTGGTTCTGGGAAGCAGAAGGGCAATCGTTCTGCAGCATCCACACCTCAGCCATGTGCAAGGGCCCTCCACCCCTCTCCTCCAGGGTAGTGTTACCTGCAAGATGCTCCTCAGCATGTCTGTGGGGCTGCTCCTCTCTGCTCTTCTCGAGGTAGTCCCTGCAGCTCTGACTGTTCTCTGTGCTTGGCAGCAAGCATCTGCTTTCCACAGGCATCTTGCTATTAAATATCCTGTCTGACACAGTAATGGAAAGAAAACGAACAAATTCCATTAGTGGCTGGCGATCCCTGCAGGTTCTGCGTTGGGGCGAGGAGGGAGTTGGTATTTTTAGAGAGAATGCAATGCAACTTACTGGCTCTCTTAAAGCTGGGGAGTAGATAACCAAGGAGGGGAAGAGGGGACACCGGGCTCAGGTTTCAGCTGAAGTGCTGGACTATGGCAGCACGAAAGGGCAAGTCTGGTCCAGACGTGGCTGTGAGTATACAATGTGCTTCTCCTTCATGCCCAAAGAGACCTCTGCTTTGCTTCTCTGCTTGCTTCTTGCCTGTGGTCTCTGCTCCTGGTGTACCAGGGTTTTGGAAGTGCTTCGCTGCTGGAGCGTGTCAAGTTTTACCATGTTAATCTTTGCAGCTCCATGCGTGTCCTGTGGGTGGGATCCCAGGTCTGGCTGAGCTGTGCTTTGAACTTCCAAGGGCGTTGCTGTTGTAGGTCTGTGCTGAAGCTGCCATGCCTGCAGCGTAGCTGAGGGCTCGACCTGAGATGCAGAAGTTTCCAGCAAGAGCTGGAGTTAGAAAAGCCCTTTGCACTTAACCATTTCTTGGAGCTATCAGTGTTTCCTGCTCACCCTAGACAGCATGCAGGGCTCTGAGTGCAAATGTGCACTTCTAAGGGCAGCACCAGCACCGTGCTCAGCCTTTCCCAGCAGATCAGCCTGAATGAGCAGAGTGCACCCAGGCATCGTGTTGACTCTCCAACGCACCTGCAGCCCTCCGTGAAGCTGGCAGCCTAGCTTCAAATGTGGGGGCTCCTCCCAGGCAGACCGGGTTGTGCTGCGAAGCAGCAGCTTGTGGTGCCAGCTGGCAGAGCAGGACATGCCAGCTGCACGTGTTTCCCTGCGTGCAGAGACTGCGCCGGCACGGGGCATGGCGATGCTGCCCTCCACTGCCCGTCCCTCTGTCCTGGGCAGGGCTGCAGCATTTGCACTGCTGGGGGCTGGGACACCCATCTGCAGGTCTTCTTTCTGCAGGGGTAGCAGGAGAGTGGGCCCTGTGCTGGGCTGTGTTTCTCTGGGTAGGAGGATGAGGGAAGGATGGAGGAAAGCAGGAGGCAGCTGAGCAGTGCTGCTTCCATCTCTGAGCTGGAATGACCGAGGCTGGTAAGACAGGAGCTCTGAACACTTCACCTGCACCATTCTGCCTGGGTCTGCTGCCAAAGCTCTGTTGCTTTCAGTGCTGGCCCCAAGAGCTTGATGACCCCAGGGCTGTGGGAACTGGAGGGCTGAGGCTGGCAGGATGTGTGCTCACATAGCACAGGAGGTCTCTTGGACAATCCCAGCGTGATTGGTAAGAAAGGGGCTCTGATTTTCTAGTGGAGCCAAGGACAGAGGAGTGTGTCCTGCTGCTTTGCCATGGATGTCTCATGGCTCTGTGCTGTGGACAGCCCTTTGGGCTAGACCTACCAGGCAGGCGCCAGTTCATAGGTAGAGCCACACAGAGCTCTCACTGCATTTCCACCTTGTTCTCCAGCTTCTGGTGAGCCATCCCATTGTCTTCATTTGCTGCCTTAATAGTGTTACACAAATTATTGCTGTGCCTTGCCTGGGGTGGTGACACTGCCTTGCTGTGACTTTCCTGGCTGCAATGTGCCCAGTTGGGGTTGTTGCCACTGCCACTGTGACTCCTGTACTGGTTTCTGGAGGACAGCAGAGGCAGGCACAACCAACTCTGCAGTATATTGTCCATTGCTGATCTCTCAGCCAGGACAGAAAGCATTTCCTGTGCCTAGAAAGGCTGCAGCAATCCTGTCAGAGCACCTTCCCAGCCCTACCAGCACTGCTCAGATCCATACATCTCTCCTCCCTGGCCTGGCCAAAGGCTTTTCTTCCCTTAAGCCTCACTCCCAGCCCTGCCTTGTCCTGTTTGATGAGGACCATCTCTGCCTGCCTGGCCTCTTTCCCACCGGGTCTCTGTAGCCAAGCACTGGGATGATCCCATATTGCTGACGGGAGAGCATGAAGTATGATGCCAAACCTCATGCTGTTTGTTTTTTTCCCCAAGGCTGATGCTGCGACCAGTTTTCTGAGAGCTGCAAGATCTGGGAATCTGGACAAAGCCTTGGATCATCTCAGGAATGGGGTAGATATTAACACCTGTAATCAGGTAGGTGAAACCCACGAGGTTTCTGGTATCACTGCTAGCTTATGTGAAAATTGCCATGCTGTGGCTCCCCAAGGTTGAGGTGACAGTCACTCTGTCCCTTCTTTATTCTGCTCCATGGGAGAGGGACAGAGAAAGGCTCCAGGGAGTTTGTTTAGCCTTGACCCTGGTACAGAGCAGACCATAAGTGGGCAGAGCAAGTTTAAAAATGGTGGGAAGTGTTTAAAAACAGGGGATGTTTGCAGAACGCCAGTGTGGTGCCTCAGGAGGTGCTGTTCAGGTGGAGCCCCTTCTAACACAGAGCAGGGACAGCTCTGCCCCTGGAAAGGAAAGCTGCAGGCACAGAGGAATGGTTTGCACATAACTGACAGAACATTTTGTTACCTGTGCAGCTGCCAAATGCATCGACTCAGCCTGAATCAGAGTAGGTGCTGCAAGGAGGGACACAAGGGACTTGGGCTGAGCTGGGGGACAGACAGGCAGACGGCACTGTCAGCTGCTTTCCAGAGCATCAGTGATGCTGGGGAGGCTGACTTGGCAGGTAGCACAAGCGGATGTTCCTCTGGTTCAATATCAAGTTTCCAAACCAAGCGTGGTTCAGACCCATCAATCTATGCACTGCAGTGGCCGGTGCATTGCTGCAGACATTTTCCCCCAGGAAATGTTGCTGTCTCCTTTTCTTTTCTGACTGACAGTACTGTGCAGATATGCTGGATTTCTGCTGGCAGCTGGGGCATGTTGCACCTTGTTTTCTCCTCCCTAGAATGCTAGAGGAGGCTTGGGGAAAGCTCATGAGGTGCCCATTTTATTCCTCATTCCCAATTATTGTCAGCGCATAACCAGCATCCAGGTGTTCCTGTCCTGGGGTGTGTGGGCAAGGACAGGATTGAAACCAGAGGGGTGTTGTGGGGAGAAGAAATAGAAAATGTTGTGTTTCAGTCCATTGAAGATGAAATAGTTTTCAATTTCTTCCCCACAAGGGGCAGTCCCCCTTTGCTGGGAGCAGTCCTGCTTCCAGCCAGATTCCTGCAGCCAATGAGGGGGTTTAACATCCTGCTGGGGAGCACGTGGCTGCAGCAGAATGAGGTGCTCCTTTCAGTGGTGCCTTTGCACTGGTTCCTGCCATCTCCCTGAGGTTAGATGGCACTTTAGGGTTTCCTTCTGAGGAATATCAGACCTGTGGGAAAGGTCCAACCTCACATGTCCTGTATAGAATAAGGAGGGATATATGTGGTCAGACCTATCCCACAGGCCCTGTATTCTTACACAAGTGCAGAGACCTTGACATGCCATCTGATCTTCATCCTGCCATCTTCTTCATGGTTGCCATCTGCATCAGTATCCTTCTTGTGTTCTGAATCCATGCATGCTGAGGAGTTGGAGCTGAGGAGAAGCAGAGCTGAGCTGGCTGCCAGAACCCAGCAGTCATGGTTGCGTGGGCAGGAATCTTTTCTGGGTCACAACCCAGGGCAGGGTCCACTCAGGGTACAGCAACACGAAGGAGCATTTTTCTGCAGAGCTGAGTTTGTTGCATTGGCAGCAGCGCCCAAGGCTTCTGGGAAGCATTTGCAGTTGGTGAGGGAGTGCAGCACTGCTCAGATCAAGTGCATCCCATGGCGGTTTTGGGTCAGAAGAGCCGTCAAACACCAGAGCAAACCTGCAAAACAACCTGCATTGTTCCTGAGGCACAAATATCGATGGGCCTCTGGGAAACAGCCTTCAGTAAACATTGTGCTTATCGCTGGAAGGATGGAGAATAACGATTCCTCAATGGCTTTCAGCTTTCAAAAGGTTATTTATGAATCCTTTGCGTAAGAGGACATATGTGCGAGGGGAGCAGCTGAGTATTCATGATTTTGTCCTCCCTGCATCTTGTTGCATGGGTATAACAGGGAAAAAGCATGTGCTGTATCTGTGGCTCTCACCCAGCTGGTGAGCTCTCAAGATGTGGGTGCAGAGCCGTGCAGCTGTGCCCTGGTCCAAGAGCTGCAGCATTCTTGCTTCTTTTTCCCTTGGCAGCCATCCCCTTGTGCTTGGAGCTCCAGGAGATGCTGGAGCTGGTGTGCTGAGATAGCCTGTAGGCTTGCTATCTGTGCATACATGAGAGGTAGAAAAGAGTCTGTGATCTTGGAAGGCTCCTGGATTGAGCACGAGAGAAGTGGAAGACCTTTTTGTGCTATGATAAACCCCCTCCGGAAGCTGTTGTGAGTTTAACTGGGATGTTGAAGGCTGCAACTGGAGCTTGCCCTGGCATGTTCTGCTCCCCTACCTGTATTCAGATGGGGATGAAGCAATCCTGCAAAGTGACCTTCCAGCACCCTCCATAAGCCAAAGCAGATGGCTGGGGGGTGGAGTGCTTGGGCAGCACTGTGTGCTTCTGGGGAGCTGGCAGCTCTTTGCCACATGAGAGCTGCACAGGGGTGAGTAAGCACAGTGCATCCATCTGGGAGAAGTGCGGCACTTTTCCCTTGTGGAGGGAAAAAAAAAAAAGTGCCATTTGAAATTGCCTGCAAATATTTAACCTCTCTGCCAGTAAATATCTCAGCCCTTTTGTTCACATCTGGGAAGTTGGAAATAATGGAGCATAAGCTTTCTCAACTGCCTCTGGGGTGCTGGCAGGCCTAACCCCCCACTTTTGACAGCACAAGGATATTCCAAGGGTGCTTTTCAGGGGCTGTGCTCCACTTGCTCCTGGGACTGTGGTTTCATATGTAGCTTGGAAAAGGAGGGCTGAACTGGGGCACCCGAAGCAGTGTTCCCAAGCAGTCACCTGAACTGTTCAAGAGCTTCCTGGATCTGACAGAGCTGAGCAGCTGCACAACCAGTGCTTCCCCAGAGTCTCTGCTGCAGCTCAGTACTGGAGGAGCAAAGCAGCCCCGGTGCTGAGCATGGGCTGTGGGATGGAATTGGCAGGGTCAGCCTGCAAGGCCACACTTACACAGCGTGTGCATCCTCACTCTGGGCCATCCAGAGGGCTTTGGCTGTGACAGATGTGGCTGTGGGCAGGAGATGTGAGGGAGCCCTGGGAAGTCACTGGAGCGGAGATGGGAGCTGACAACAGGAGTGCGTCATGAGCAAGGAGAGCTCAAACAGTGCTTGTGAAGCCATGCACACCCACTGTGCCATGGTGACACCCATCTATAGGAACTAGTCCACGAGGGCTGCATGTCACAGGGAAACCTCCAGCATTAGTCAGCAGCTCAGTGCACGGGGCTGCATGCAGCGTGAAGCCAACTGTTCAGGGCTCAAAGGCAGAGCAGTGACTTCTGCTCCTGGCAGCCAGCACCTCCTTCAGTACACAGCAAGCACCCACAGCCAGGTCCATAGAGGAGCTCCAGGGTGGTTCCCAGAGATCATCAGTCTCATCCTGTGATTAATACCCCCTCTTTGTGCCCTGCAGAATGGGCTGAACGCCTTGCACCTGGCCTCCAAGGAAGGCCACGCGAAAATGGTGGTGGAGCTTCTGCACAAGGAGATTGTTTTGGAGACCACGACCAAGGTGAGAACAAAGGAGTCTGGTCACATTCCTCAGTCGTTGCTCTACAGCCTGCCATTGCTGGTGCTCCATAAATAATGCATAG